TCGCATGAAAATCCGCATGCAGTTCGGGAAAGAAATTTTCAGCATGAATTTAGTGTGAACGTGTCGATTGGTATCTACCGTAATCGACTATTTGGACCCTACCTTTTGCCTGCAAGGTTAAATGCTGCAACCTTCTTGGAATTTTTAAAGGCTGAATATGCAAATATGTGGGATGATGTTATGTTAGATTTAAGAAGATTGGCCTGGTTCTAGCTTGATGGTTGTCCAGCTCATTATTCGAGAATAGTTAGAAACTGGCTGGACGAAAATTATCCAGAAAGATGGATCGGCCATGGAGGACCAGTCGCCTGGCCTCCACGATCCCCTGACCTAAATCCATTAGATTTCTTTGTGTGGGGATTTCTAAAAGAAAAAGTGTACCAGACTCCCGTAACCACAAGAGATATGCTAATAGACAGAATTAGGAATGCATGTGATGAAATAAGGCCTTATTTGAATAATGTTATACCACGTTCGATCATTCGTAGATGTGAATTGTGTATTGAACAATTGGGTTTACATTTCGAGCAACTACTTTAGATTTTGTATGTTTGTCTTAACTATCCAATAGCATTTTAGTTGTAAATAATTAATTTAATTTGTTAAAAATAATATTGGAAAATTAAACAAATTAATATTCTGTTTTTTTTGTGTTTATTTGGAGTTAGGAATTATTGCTGAGTTTAAAAACACAATCTAAACGATCATCTTAATTACTTGTAATGCCCAAATCGAAAATGTAAAAAAAATATTATTTTCCCATAAATAATTAAAAATGCATCGAACCTTAAAAGTCGAAATATCTCAAAAACGGCTAACTCTAACGAAAATTCACAAGAGAGCTTTTTTATGTTGAAAAGTGCGAGGAATCAGTTTTTTTATTCAAAAAGCAAAAAATTGCACTAAGAAAAAATTTTCGGTCATTTTAATACACTACAGGTACAGTAGAGAGCGTCCTCTAGCGGCTACAATAAAACTATGCTCATGGTTATCGAATCTTAAAGTTATGCAACAATAAACTGAAACACCCTGTAGATTATAACGGATCTAACTGGGGGAAGTGAGAGCTGATTCTTATTGACCCTGTCAATACAGTTCCACAGAGGAAATTTTGTATCCTGGTGGGAGGAGGTGCGAAACAGTCCAGAGGTGATCTAAGAAGGTACGCGGTGATCCAAGGGGGTCCAAAGCAATAGGAAAATTACGCTAATAATTCAAGTTATTGGAAATACCAATAATACATCTTGATCTACATATTCAGTGTTAGAGCGCGGTAAATCATGTACCTTAGTTCTCCTAGAACCCATCACCCATCTCTCTAGACACTTGAGATAATATGAACAAAGGAAACCCTTCGATGCATGAAAATATCCTGAGCATTAATATTTAGTACCTCAGGCCGATGAGTCGGCAACACATGTATTTGCGCTCATGCAAGCTGTGCGTTTCTCTGCCATCAGTATAGCCCAACGGTGTGAAAACCAAAGTTTCAAATGTTATGCCCCACTGGGGTCATTTATGATATGCACGGCCCCCTCATGAACCAGCATCTTAAAAAACGTTTATTACATTCCCATGGAAATTGCTAAATGTGTTCGAAACGTGATATTGGATATGTAGGAAACCAATTGATTAATCCATATTGTATATTATGTCCATACTGCTTAGACGTTCCTTTTGAAAAATGTGTGGCATTTGAAATCTATTCTAGCGTCCTAGGCGACCTCAATGCATTACAAGTAGGAGATAAATCATTGGATTAACGAACTTACCTACTTTCGCTAAAATGACAATCGCCTTGTATCGACCATAGAAAAACGGTAGTACTGCATCATGTTATTACTTTAAGACGTCGATATTTTCTCTGCCTCTGGGTTCTGGTGAAGTATTTGCTACTTCATTCAACGATCTCCATTTTTAAATCGCACATCGTACCACTTCGTAATTCTTGATTTCGTTTCATTGGCTCTCTATTGGTCAATCAACAAAACATTGGCTCAGTAATACGTTGATCTGATCTCCGATCAGTTTCGGAGGCTTGCTTGGCCGCTGCGAATGACGATTGCAGTCTCTGAGTGTGTGCCCAACAGTACTGAAGGTTTCAACCTCCCCCTTTACCACTCTCTTAATTATCGCTTGAGCCTCATTAGAATGTTACGTCATTTGTCTCTTGTTGTGCATGTTTTAAGTGCCAAAGGATAGAAGAGAGTCATTACGTGGCTGAAAAACGATTTTCCACCTGGCGATTGTCACTTTGACCATAACCGCGATCTCACCCACTGCTAAGTAGCCCAGAAAAATGAACGCTTTTGACTTATTAAAAATTCTGTATTGAGTGAAAGTTTGGTTATATTATAGATTATTGAAGTACTCTTTTCTAGCATGAAGAAAAGTTCCACATATTATATATAGAAAAAAGTTATCAAGACAATTTTGTAGCATAATGAACAACCAATAAAAGTTGTTTGATAACATTTTCATATCTATATTCGCTTATGAGAGAGAGTCAATTTTCTTAGAGCTTTATCATAGTCATATACGAGTACATGAATGCACATAGACTAGGCGAGTACAAAAAAGCGTTGTGCTTATTACGAAAAGTTGACCTCTTGGCATATAGGAATGTTGTTAAGGTTATTTGTAATAGTTTTGTGAAATGCTTAGAGATTCCACTCTTTAGGCCTCAATCTAGGGGTTGGGTCGGGGTAACATTATTTTCAGGGAAATCTCATGTCAGGGCAATTTGACAACACTAAGTCCTGTTAAAATGTTCACGCCTCGTTAAATCAAATACGGTATCTAAGTAATCAAATTCTTCACTGTCTACAATGATGAATTTAACTTATTCCCTCTACGACTGCAATATCACAATATCATAGTCAGTGAACGATATATTGGACAATTCACTCTAAAAAAATGGCTTCAAGTAAGTTGACTGTGTCACTTCGTAAAGTATTATGTTTGGCATAAGTTAGCTTTTCTGAGACAAAAGTTAGCAACGAACATTTATAAGAAAATATTCAAGGACCTTGCTCCTCCCCCTGAGAGGAATTGCTGCAGGTGCACAAAATCGTTCCGTTGACCAATCCCGCGTAAGTGTAGTGTGGAAGCGATTGCCGACTGTGAAGTACGACCGCCGACGATGACGCTTGTCCATCGGGGGACAACGTCGCACGTATCAACACCCGACTGTAGGACTTTCAAGAGTAAATGTAAGGGGACGTCTATGCTGCGTGAAAGATGCTTAATATGTGCATAGAATTACTGAGATTGGACGCGTATAAATATACCAAACATTGAAATAATTATACTCTACCCACACCGGTAACTCTTAACCCTCAACTTTTAACCGCTCAAGGTCGTCTGAATTTTTGTTTCTGGCCTTTTCTTCCGCCGCCACTAGAACGATTTACAAAAACTGCAAACTTTTGCGTCCTTGGTATGGAAAGCGAGCAGTACTTCTGAAGCTACAGGCGGTTATAAGATTAGCGGACAGACCGACAGACAGACATACCGACGGAAATGGTTTTCCGTGATGCACCTGTCATATAACATCCAAAAAAATGTTAGTGATTATAATGCTTCCGCGTCAGTAAGCCTGGGAAGTTAAATGGCCTTGCCTGGTGATCGATCATGCAATTATCTGCATCCATGAGACTTGAAGATACTAAATTCTAAAAAACAACACCTGTATACAATTGTGTACAGACTGTTCCTTTCGTAGCATGAGAAGTAAGGTTAAGCATATCTTCAAAGGACGAGGAGTTACGGCCGTTGAGCTTGTGGTTAAATACAGGGTGTCCGCAAAGTTGGGGTTTTCCTTTACACGACGTGTAGATCTTGAAAACATAAGCAATTTTTCTTAGTACCATATACACCAATGTCTTAAGGGAACCGAGATAAAGGGCTCTGCATCATCAAAAATATCTGAATACCGTCCTGTAGCCGCGACCCGCCGCGATCCGCGATATCCCAGACTGGTACCGGGTACTAGCTGAACCCGACGACAGAACTGGGTCGGGGGTCGGGGTCAGTGTGTCAGGTCAGTATGTAACCTTCAACCGACGGTAAAGGGTCACGCGTATAGAGGTAACGAACCCGTATAATCGATTGCGTTTCAAAAAAAAAATAATAATGGCACACTCATACACCAATAATGAACTCGTTGATATGTTGTTAATTTATGGCGAATGTCTTCAAAATGCTACAGAATCATCGCGAGTGTATGCAGATCGTTTCCCTAGACAACATCATCAAAGGCCCCGCAGATTTGTGTACCTGGTCCAGAGAGTCAGGGATACGGGCCATTTGGAGGAATTTCGAGGTCGGCACAGTGGGAGGCCTAGACAACCACGAATAGTGCAAGTTGAGGAAGAACTACTGAATCGCGTAGACGAGAATCCCTCAACAAGCACTAGACGTGGCTAGAGAAGTGCAAGTATCAAAAACTAAAGTGTGGCAAACGTCCAACGTGTACAAGCCCTTCAACCTGACGATTTTCCAGCAAGAGTGCGGTTTTGTGAGTGGTTGTTGCATCAACATGACAATAATCCGGATTTTTTGAAGTGCATATTGGTGACAGACGAATCTACGTTCACGCATAATGGGGTGAATAACTTTCGATTTCAGGCAGAGACGTACTTAGCGCTTCTCGTCAACTGGAGAGTGAGTACTTTTTCCTTTATTTTTTTTTACGTGGTCGCCCTCGTTTCACTACACATTACCTTTGTTATTTCAAGGGTAGTTGTTTCTGAAAAGGAAAACCCCAACTTTGCGGACAACCTGTATATTAATTTTTAAATAACAGCCTGTAAAACCAGCCTTGAATAAAGATATTAGGTACCATTTTCTCATTATCGTCCTCCTGAGAATATAATTTAATGTCTGGGAGGTCCTCATATTACGCACCGCACTTGATCAATTGCCAGATGATTCATTTTCAATCTGAATCAGCTTGCCTTTCCGCTCTCCGTCTGATGAGGCTCAAATTTAGTTGGTACCGACAAGGATGCGTGTTCGTGATTCGTGACCGTCCATTGTTCTTTACCGATGTTAATTAGTTATTTGCGTTACCTTAAGGCCAACCGAGTTCATACACTCGTGCTTCAAGCTTTTTATTTCGTTTTCTGACTTCTCGTCACGTTAAATTCCTCCGGCCTTTTGATGAGCGTATCGCGATCGTTTACAACTCACACGGTCGCGGTAGGTTGCAGAGAAGGTGAGTCTGATTTTATATTCCAAAAAAATGGAATCAAGTAGATTGATTCTATACTTGCCACAACTGTTTTCAATCTAGCGCAATGGCATCAAAAAGACGTAGGTTTTGTCAGAAAAATTAGTGCACTATTTTGGCTTTTCATGAAAAAAAGTTTACTCAGATTGCAGCAATGACGGTAGTCTCATTTCTTTGGAGCTCTGATGTAAAACTGTTTGTCAACAATGTTTCATAACTGATTATGATAGCTCTTGATACGGACTTATACTATATACTACATAATATTACTCCACGAAATCAAGTAACCTTATTAAGTCACACTTCCTCGTATGAGCATATCGCGTCACCGAGCGGTTCACTACCTGCTTTTGTGTTCCTCGGATACACAATCAAAGATACAACATTTACAATTCCCTGGCGCGTCGCAAGTGCGACCGCTAGGTATGCGATCCGTAATACTTTTAAGGGCCAAAGGGCTGTAAACATACGATTGGTGAAATATATCTAATAGGTGCCTGGAATTATGCGGGTTGCACATGTATTGATGTACTTACATCAAGAAACTGCAATACACCTTTCCGCACCCCCTACAACCCCCCATCTACCAGTTTTTACCGCCTGAATTTCAAAAATGGTCAGCATCTTCTAAAGCGTCAAAAAAATAAGAAACGATTTTTATTTTTTCATTTTTGTAATTTTTCACCGCCGCCGCCAGTGGACCTATTTTCGAAAACTACAGAGTTGTTTTGTCCTTGGCATGTAACCTTGTATAAACATTTCATCCAAATTCTAGCAGTAATTTCCAAGTTATAGACGAAGCAAGTATTTGCGGACAGACCGATATACAGACAGATATACCGACATGTTACATAACATCCAGAAAACATACTCTCATTTTTTAAATTTTTACGCGATTGCAATAAAAGTAAAAGGAGCTTAATACATAAAAAGGTATTTCTGTAATCGCAGGTCCAAAGTTTTACCACTTTTTCCAATGAGTAAGGCGATGATCCCGACATGTATCGAATATGGAATCGGTCCACCACAGCTTCGCATAACGTAAAGGTTACAGCGGTTTTACGCTATATAGCAGTACTCATTAGATAGCTTAGATAGTTCGCAGCGGTTGGTCAACAAACTATATATCAAGTAAGACAGCCAAATACGAACTGCTGCCAAATTATCAAAACTATGCACCGTTGAAATGCGTTTCATTAGCTGAATTCATTCATTGCCTGCCAGATAGGGAGGCTGTCTAGATAACTAGCAACCATGTCAAATACGACGACGATGCCAATTTGAGGTTAGAATCAATTTGAATTATTTTTATTTCACGGATATACATTATTTTTCTTTTGTAACAAAACCAAATCGTGTAATACTCTAGGTAGCACCCTAACAATTATACTTTTTTTGATTAATTTAAATTTCAGAAGGTTTTATTCGCACTAATTACACGTACCAATATTTAAATAACTAAATAAAGTTAATTAGATTAGGATAATTTACCCTAATTAATTTTATTCAGAAATTTTTGGAAAATACAAAGTTCAAAAAATCGTTTGAATTTTCGATTTTGTATAACTATGGGACAACCTTCAGATTTTGGGAATAACTACTGTTTTCATAATATTATAATAAATAACACACGGTCCTGTGGCGGAAAGTACCCCCAAAAAATGTGATATATAACTTTATGAAGTTATTCCCAAAACATGTAAGTTGTCTCTAGCTATTCAACCGTTAGGGCCATACGCGGAATATTATACGATTTAGTTTAGCAACAGACGAGAAATATATGCTTGAAATTGAAATTCTTATTAACCTCAGATTGCGCATTTTACGAATCGTCGTTGTATTTGACATGATTACCCGTTATCTAGGCATCCGCTTGAGCCAGAGGTTCTCAAACTTATTTCGTCTACTGCCACTTTGAGAATCAATTATTTTCTAACGCCCCAAAAATTGTCCGCCTCGGAGGTGGAAGTCTGCGACTGAAATCGAATGCGGGGGTGATATAGACAATTGAAAAGCGGGGGAGTTCGTCTGCATCAATGCTTCTGAGAGCTGACAATTGAGGAGCTAGGGCAAAAATTATCCATTGCGTTGCCTCTCAAATTAATCAATCGCCGCTCAATTTCCTGCCCGAAGTGTGAGATTCTCTAGAAATGGCATACTCACTAAAGCCCCTTAGCCGCTGGCCACACATCTCACCACGGTAATGTATGCAGCATTTCTTCATAGTAGATAGCGTTGCGCTAGGTTTTCATACCGAATTATCGCACACATACATACTTTTATAACAATGTACATTTTAAACTGAGCAAAATAGAAACCTACCATTGGTTCCTTGGTCTATTTTTGTTCTCCCGTACCTCACATCTATCTGCATCGCCCCCTTGTCAATCCAAGTTTTAATATCTGGACCTTCTGGTATATGCACCATGGCCACATAACAAAAAGCGCCTCTCTTTCGTCGCTTGTGGCTTCGACGCCCCTTTTTATAGAGTGTACAACACTTCACATCCAGCAAATCTATTGGAGGGATACCAGCTACCACCAGCAGTGCATTGGTCGACACCATTTTGTAAGTGCATACCTTTCGCAGCACTACTTTTCCCTGTCTATATTTATTTTTCCTCAAGGCCTTGTTATTTTATGCTCCGTACAAGGGGATGATGTCGCCGACTTTGAGAAACATTGACTCAAGCGATGGCCTGTGTTATATTGATTGGGCATTGGTGGATTATGGCATTGCTCCGCGACTTCGGGCTCAAAAATTGGCAAAAGTGGGCCCCGGATTTATTTTTGCCCTGCGGCCCCTATAGCCGCAGTCCTCGAACTTATGTGTGCTCAGGGAGCACTACATAGCTATGCAGCTGCCGGATAATATTACGAGTAGATCAATCAGAAGGCTTCCTTGTAGTAATCCAAATGAATATAGTTAAGTACCAATCGAACTTGATCATCATAGAACAACCACAGATTTCTCTCATGCTTGTAACAGAAATAATGATAGCAAGATCCGACGTGAATACTGCATTTATGCATTGATTGATATATTCCTCATGGCGTTAAATCACCCTAATCAACACAACCATATCTCTAGTAGGTATTCGTTTGGCCCTATACTCTTGGCAGTTGATAAATTCGTAGTGCTGCCAAGCTACTAACAGTAAACATGAATAATTTGTATTAACACACAAATGTTAGTTATTTTGACACATAGTAGTTGAACCTGATAATATTTATTTTTCAATCCAACTCAAAGAGTCGAAATGGCGTGTAATACGACCAGTCTAACGTTTATTTTTTAGATATACCGCGATTTCAGGCTCTCGACTTTTTTGTGAGCGGACAGCTTTCAAATATATTAAAGATTATTCTGGGTTCTTCTGTTTTCCCACGAAACGAACATACTGAAACACTTTGATTAAAAATATGATTGCCAATGCTCGTACTTTGCATAAATATTACGCACACACAGATGATGTTTCTGCCAAACAGTGGTTCATATATCCATAAATTTTATTTTTTTATTTTATTTTTATTTTATTTTATTCATTACAACACCCTACAGTAAATACCAATTACAGGGTGAGGAAATACAGAACATAACACAGATATAAAAGACAATAATAAGTAATAAGTAATAGACTACAAAGTGTAAAAGATACATGCTGGTTACTTAATAGTATTTTTTATGTCTGCAATTCTGCAGTTAAATAAATCAATCCTGTTACTTGCAGAATTGTAATTCCTACACATCACATGTAAAGGGGAATAGTGTAAATAATTTGTCCGTGCCGCAGGTAGATAAAACGTAACGTTTTGTCGGGATGTCAGCCTAGGTACGTTAAATGATAACTGACCCAATAAAGCTAAATCATCACTAGCATTATTGATCAACTTAAATAGAAAAATCACTGACTGGCAAGTGCGCCTTGCTTCAAGACTGCTGATTAGATGTTTTTCAAGTAAGGAATCATGAGGTATACCTATGGGCGGGTAAACGCCATCCACTTTCAGTGACAAATATTTCATTCAAGCCTATGAATAATATGATGCGGATTCCAAATTAGCAATGCATACTCAAGCTTCGACCTAACATATGCATAATACAGCAACTTCAAGGTGGTAAATTACAATATTAGACGGCAATTGAATCGACAGTGGACACGTTGATGCATTTTTAAAAATATATCCTTTTTTTCTAAATTTATCTCTCTCGGGTAAGTATTTCTGTTCTGTACTGCTCTTTTCAATGAAGTGCTCAGTAATAATTGATATATTAATCTAAACTGAATCCAAATTCTAATGTAAATAATAACAGTTAGCGCGTGATCTCTTGGTAACAGGTTTGGACAACGCCTCTTATTGGTCAATTCGCCATTAAATTTCAAGCGGTCGCCTGGCGGAATAATGCGCGGGGCAGGGGCAGGGCAGGCAGAGTTGCACTCAGGCCACCGTCCGTCACGTATATCACTGCGTGCTCGTGTTTTCGTATTCACCTTGCTTGGTTGTTCTTGTTGTTGTTGTTAAGTGTATTTGAGTAATTTGTTCAGTTTCTGTTTCTGATAAATACTGTCATCTTTGTTTTACAACACGTTGGTGGTAGTCCATCATTCGGAGGTAGCCCTGAATGCGGCTCTGTACGCCGTCCTTGCTTTTGGCAATCACGCATCCATTCTATCTTGGGTGTAAATACACTATAGCCATATCAGATTTGATCCACACTTCAGGCAGGGATTAAGGGCTCCTCTCCGATTGGCCAATTTTCGGTGCAGTTTTACGAAAACGCTTTCTAATTGGTCATTGTTGATCCGGATCATAGGTTCTGATCTGTGATCAACTGAAAAAAATATGCTTTTGTAGCTAAACCAGGTTATTTATAAACAATATCTTGATTTATTATTCACATTACACAAATCGTATATTTTTTTCGCTAGTTTAGAAAAAATCTATATTCATTAGATATTACTAGAAAGATGTCTTCTCATTAG